TACAGAAGCCTCACCTCATTCCTCAGAAAATTTGAGGCTGAGTTTTTTTTTTTTTAAATGTGTACAATAAAACCATGTATGTAAAGAAAAGATAGTCCCGAAACGGTATGGAAACCTGAAGACACAGGTTTAGACATAGATGCTCTCAAACCACCTTCACTGTGAGAAGTGGGCAGATCCGGTTCCGAGCAGCCCAGCTGTTGAAGAACCTGCCGGGATAAACCAGAACAAACCCAGGATAAACCAGGACAGACTGTGCCCCTGGGGTGATCTGCAAGGGGCTGCACAGCTCACTGGCTAGGTGAGATGTCAGCAGGAGGGGGGGCTTAGGTCAAAAAGCTGGGAGACTTGCATAGCAAGCCCCCGCCCCCTTACTCTTGGGAGATGCTGTGTTTATTGGAACAAGTCCCTGCACCTGACCTGGGAAGCTTTGCATTTCCCACACTTACTTGATCATAGAATCCATTTCTCAAGAACTGTTTATTTCTTGAGGAACTGCTTTCTATAGAACACATTTTGGAGGACACAAGAATAAGTGGACTGACTGTGTATTCTTACTGAAGATAGACTGGCTGTTATGGAAGACCGCTACCAAAACATTTTCTTTTTTTTTAAAATATTTATTTATGTATACAAGAACTGGGGTATAGGCCAGAGGAAGGGATAGGCAGGGGAAGGTGAGAGGATTCACCAGAGGCAGAGCGGGGAGCAGAACAGACAGACTGACTGAAATACAGTCAGTATTTACACTGCTGAGGGGAGCAGTGGGCGAGACAGGAGAGGTCTGCTGTGCCATGTGGGTCACCTCCCTGGCTGGGGATTGAACTCCTGCTGCAGTGGCTGCAGACAGCCTCCTACTGCTGTGTCTTAACCCTTTGCACCACCAGGGAGGCCCCTACCAAAACATTTTCATTTAGAAAAACTAGTATTAGGCTTTTTATCTTACTCTACTGTATATAACTAATTATCTATAGCAGGCAAAAAACTAGAGCTCACAGTTATAAAAATCACAATTTAAGCACATAAGACACATAGCCAAGCAAGCAAAAATAACTTCAGATTATGAAGATGTGAATAATAAAGGGGTGAGTTCAGTGTCCTTCCTTTTTTCTATTTGTTTCATTTCCCCCACCCCCTTTTTTTTCCTTTTGGCCCTTTCATCCCACAGCAAGAAAGAGAGAGCATCCTTCCTTTTATGGCTGCTTAGAATTTCATTAGAGAGAGGCACATACTCGGTTTGCCCCCGTGGATGGATACTTAGCTTATTTCCAGTCATTTAATTACAGCCAGTGCTGCAATAAATAACCTCACATTTAACATCGTTTTCTAAAGTGAGTGTGTCTGTAGGTGGGTCACTACAGGGGGAATCACTGGGATACCTCGATGGTACTGTCAGGAGGTCTTAGCAGGGATTGCATGGACCTCTGCTCACCCGCAAGACAAGGAGTATTTCCCCTAGAGCCTCTCCGGGCTCAGACTGTATGGTCTTAGCAATTCAAAAGGTGAAGAAATGATAACCCGGTGTAGTTTTACTTTATATTTTTTGTCATAAGGGAGGGTGAATACATTTCATGTTTGAGAGATTAACTTTTCTTTTTTCCCTTAACTCTATTTATATCTTTGCCCATTTTTATATTGTGCTCTCAGTTTTTCACTTATATACTAGAAAATTTTGTATCTAGCTTTTGGTCTGAGAACTGAATAACATAATTTTTCCTGTTGTTTGTTTGACTTTGCCTACTTGTGATTTTTTGCCATTTAAGTTTGTTTTTTTCTGCTCTTATGTAATTAAATTTATTTTAAATTTTATGGCTTGCACATTATAATTCCATAACCTGTCTCCACTCTGAGTTTATAATGGGATTCTCCCATTGTCTCTTCTGCAATATTTATTGGCTTAGAGAAACATTCAATTTATAATGTTATTGCAGTACAAATATATTAATGTATAAATAAAATATATGATATACATATATACATTAACTATCTAAATGTATGTTATTTATATATAAATATGTAAACAATGTAATAAAATATATATTTAACATGTTAAAATTTTCTATAAAAATATTTAGAATTTATGCCTGTAATAAGATGAGCTATAACTTGATGTTTTTTCTAGAGGACTGCACAATTGTTACATTTCCATTTGTAAGAAATTCATCTTTACTAAATACCTATGATCGTACTCTTTGTTTCTGAACTTTCTGTTCTGTGCCATTTAGCTTTCAGTATACTCATACACAAGTTCTGTACTGTTTCACTTACTGTAGCTTTATAAATGTTTTAATGTCTGATCCTTTCCCATTTTGTATATTTTTCCTGACTATGCTTCATGTTTAATTTTTCCTTATAAACTTTAGAATCAGCTAAGTTCCAATGTTTTTTTTTTTAAATCCTCTTACTACTTTTATTGGAATTGCATTAAATTTATAGATTAACTCAAGAGGACATAGCATTTTGTGATGCTCTTTCTAGCCAAGTAACTGGGCCACTTTTTAAATGGACTAAGCCTTGGCAGCAAGATGTCGCCCTTGGAGTCCGTCAGTAGGGGTGAGGAGCTAATGAAGGGCAGAACACACTAGTCAGAGAAATCTTAGACACTGTTGGCATAAACACTGACAGGAGCCTTCTGTGATCAAATGAGGAAGCATAATCAAATCCCTCCCAGAAGATAGCCACTGTGTATGAATGGGAAGCTGTTGTCAGGGTTCTAGAAGCGGGAGTGCGTCGTGCAGAGATGCCACCTTGAAGGAGCCGTGCCCTGTGCTCAAGGTCACAACTGGAGCCAAGCTCACAAAGGAGTCAGGGAAGAAATGCCCATACCTGGCTGCCCTCTGGTCTTTAGAGTTCCCCACTGGCCAAACCCCACCAGCAGCCAGAAGCCCTAAAAGCCCACAATTTCATTCATCGAGATCAGGTCTAGGGCACGGAGAAGAAGGTGTAAGCTGGATGTGGAGAAGCAACCAGAAGCTGTTGGGTCCTCATCTCCAGCTTTTCATAGTCCAAGCACTGGGGTCACTAAGACAATTGCTCTGGAATGAATGGAGTAAATGAAGATCAAAACATCAATAGGGCCTCCCCGGTGGCGCAGCAGTTGAGCGCTGGGTTGCGAAGCTGCCCGCAGCCTCTGCAACACCGGTTCAATACCCGGCCACCAGGTGAGGGTCCCACATGGTGCGCAGACCTCTCCTGCCACCCGCTGCTCCCCTCAGCAGTGTACTTCGGTCCTTCTGCCTGTTCTGCTTCCCACTCTGGCTCTGGTGAATTCTCTCACCTTCCCGTGCTTCTGACTGTACCCAGTGCTTGTATAAATAAATAAATAAAATCTTAACAACAACAAAAAAACCCAAACATTATCAACAGGTAACCAAGTCTAAAGAGACTTAGTGCCTGGGCCGGAGGGCTTACCTAGAGCTAAAACCAGTTATAACCCTAAGTGTTTGTAGCATCAAAGTTAAACTGGTCATCCCACCTGCCCCAAACTAGCCCACCTGGAGTTGGGGGCATCCTGCTGATTATGACAGTTGCATGGCCCCTGCCTTTGGTTTCTCCAAAGGACATTAGTGTTACCAGGGGAAGGCAGATGGCTGCTGAGTAGAAAATGGACAATGAATCCATAACACACTCCCCATGGAAGAAGCAAAAGGATTTGTGTGGCTTTTGCTTACTAACTAGGGAGGAATGTGTCTCCACCTACCATAGAGTTACCAGTGGCATATATAGTCTCAAAGAGCTAAGTGCATCATTTCTGAGTGTTAACAGGACAGTTTAGTTGAAGAACTACCAAAATGCTAAGCTGTCTCCCAGAACACAAAGAACTAGGTCAACTTCAGTGATATTCATCCTTATCCCCAACCTCCCACCCCCATCCAAGAGAAGGCATTTATTTGGGGCTTTAGGTCTGCAGCCCTGGGAGACACAGATCCAAGAACTACTTGCCTGGAGATGGACTTACATGCACAGTGAGAGGACCAGAAAGTTCTCACTCAGATCCGCTATGTAAGTCTGTCATAGTCTGGTGCAATGAGATGCAAATTAGGTAAAGAGCTGGTCAAGCAGTGATTAGTCACATTTCAATCCTGGATAAAATCCTCTTAATAGACCTGCTCATTAGTTAAAAACAAATTGAACTTATCTAAAACTACTTCCTTTTATTGTCAGGGGAACTTGTTGGAAAGTGCTCATCACTTCCTCATCCTCTTGCTCTGCATCTTGTGGCAACTGTGAGCCTCCTGCAAAGCATCCTGTGTTGTTGCTGGCACCGCTCCTTTCTCACTACGGGTGTGGTCATGGCTCTTGCCATGCAACGCCCTACCCAGGTGCAAAATGGGTGCCCTCCTTACTCTTCACGGTTACCCTCGTGTTGCTGAGGGGGGCAGTGAGGCTCGGGGAGGGGCAGGGTGCAGGGACCCTGCACAGGGCCCACACTGCCCAGGAGTGACCTCCTGGGGGCAGCCCAGCCCTGTTGGCCTGCTCCTGGCTCCTCTGTTTGCATTGCTCGCTCCTTCCTGCCATTGGACTGCCTGTTGGTCTCTCTTCCCTTGCCCCTGCAGCCTCCTCCCCAGGAGAAGATGGAAAAATTCAGCCACTTCCCATCTACCATCACATTTTCTTTCTCTCACTCAAATTCACCTTCCAAACCCAAGGTCTGAGAAGGCTTTGTGGCTGAGGCTTCATCACTCATGCCTGCTTACTGCTGAGGGCCTGAAGTGTGGGAGACACAGAGATGGGCTATGAGGCCACTGTGCAGTTGTCACAAGTTCTGGGGCTTTCCAAGAATGAATTCTCCCATCCCCCTGCAACTACGGTCACCAAAACATTCCTCCCTCAGCAGAGTTCCCCTCAAAATATCACCCCAACCCCCTCCTTAGTACTCTCATGGAAGGACTGTTGATTCTTCTGTGCTCGGCCTCAAGCTCCCTGAGATGGAAACAAGATGTTTTACACCTGGGGCACTGAGACCCCTCTGATGAGAGCTCCTTGTGCTGTACTCACAGGTGACTGCTGGCTGCTGGCAGCCATTGCCTCCCTCACGTTGAATGAAGAAGTCCTGGCTCGAGTTGTCCCCCCAGACCAGAGCTTCCAAGAAAACTATGCAGGGATCTTCCACTTCCAGGTAACTTAATGGTAGGGCCAGGCTTTTTGTCAGTGTGTCCTAGGGATCAAGAATAGGTCCTGAAAGCTAAGAGCAGGTTCTAGAAGTTAGGAGCAGATGCTGGGAGCCATGAACGGGCCCTGGAACTAGGAACAGGCCCCCTGACTTAACCAAGTCTAACAGTCCCTCGTATTTGCAGACCCCTAGAACCAGCACTGTTCTATGAAGGGTGTTACTGGACAGTAGGCAGCTTCCTGGCCTGCTCCTTACTTGGGGCCCTGTGAGGATAGCAATGGGGATCATTTGGGACATTTGAAGAGAGGTCAAGCAGGGTGCCCAGAAAGCAATCCCCAAGTTAGGGGAAAAAAATGATTATGTGAAGTCTGAGGCAATCACCTGAGTTATCACCTTGGTCCTTCCAGCTCTAAGGTTCTAGGAGAGTTTCAAAAAGCTGCAAAACGTCACAGGGAAGTGGTCACTGTGAAGACGGTAACTTGCCCTCATGGGTACAGTGAATTGGAAGCAAACTAAGTACTCCTTACTCACCTCTTTTTAAGCTGGTAGATGAGAAGTAGTATTTTAAAAAGTACAGAGCATAGCAGAATGCTCGAGAAGCAGATGCGGATTTGGAGGAGGGACAAGCACCCCTGTCCTCAGTTTCTTAGTCAGTACTTGCCCTGCTGGAGCATAGTAAGAAGGGGCATCTCCTCATAGGAGGGGCTCATGGGGCCTATTGCCAAGGGGCCGGTGCAGGCGGGAGCCAGAGGCACTGAGGCTCGGGGTCCCCATGCTGTCACTGGCTCCTCCTAGCCTACCCTTCACCACCCTTTCCCCACCGTCCCGCAGTTCTGGCAGTATGGCGAGTGGGTGGACGTGGTGATAGATGACAGGCTGCCCACCAAGGACGGGGAGCTGCTCTTCGTGCATTCAGCAGAGGGGAGTGAGTTCTGGAGCGCCCTGCTGGAGAAGGCCTATGCCAAGTAAGTGACTGAGCCTGCCCCCAGCTGCCCTGGATTCTGGGAAAATCTGGACTGCTTCAGGGACTGCATGGAGTAGCAGAGTCCTATTCAGTAGGACTACTTGGCCAAAATTGAGCTCTGAATTCAAGGAGATTGTGCTTGGCACATTATGCCCTCATAAGTGACAGCGATTGCCATTTTTAGCCAAATTTGTCAGAACAAGTCATGAGGCTGACCGTGCTGGCTTTGAGAAAGCACCTCTACTTCCTTGGCAGTTCATATTACAGTTTTGTTAGCTAATGTCATGAAGAGTTTTTGCCAGTGGGCAAAATGGACTATTACAAAGCTGAAAACATTATGGGAACTTACCCAGGAGATAGGAGTAGAAATTGTTTTCCCATCCTTCCAACTGCATCCCTCCTAGGTTGCCCCAGTCTAGCTTATGTAGTGCTCAGCACTGCCCCTTCTCAGGAGCCCTACGGGAGCCCCTCCTGCCTGGGCTTTCTCCAGCAAATGGCCTGGCTCCAAGGCATCCAGGGGTTTCTGTTTCTTGTGGCCCCTGCCAGGGGGCAGGGCCAGGATCCACTTACCCAATGTGAGAATCTGAGGCCTGAGAAGTCACGTGAGAAGGTAAATGGTAGTGATGTGACTGCTCAAAGCGGTGTGCTCAGGCTCCAAGTCACGTGCTCAAATAGTAGCGTTAAGCCACAGGATGCTCCCACCTCAGGCGCATGGTGCCCCCTCAACACAGTGCCTACTATGCTGGAAAACGCTTTCGCTATTGAATTATCTTTTTTAAGCCTACAAATGCCAAGCATCCAACTAGCAGACCTCCCCTTTTCTACAGGACGTAGAAAGAATCATTAGGGGAGGTTGGACCAATAATTTTCTAGGTCCTTCCAATTCTGGGGTTCTAAATGATTTTCAAAACACTGCACAAAGTCCCCAGGAAGTGGTCACTGTGGAGACGGCAACTTGCCCTCACCTGCATGCTGAGTTGAAGACAAAGTCATGAAGAATCTGGGCAGAGGATTCCTGGAGCATCCAACACAGGAGACGTGGGGGGTGGGGGAGACACTCCGAGAGGCAGTAGGGTTGGCATCGGGTGCAGCAGCAGCTCTCTCCCTGCCCTCCCCAGGGTCAACGGGTGTTATGAGGCGCTCTCTGGGGGTGCCACCACAGAGGGCTTTGAGGACTTCACCGGAGGCATCGCTGAGTGGTATGAGTTGAGGAAAGCCCCTCCTAACCTGTTCAAGATCATCCAGAAAGCTCTCCAGAAAGGCTCTCTCCTGGGCTGCTCCATCGATGTAAGTACCGGCCTCCCTGTCTGTCACGCTGCTGCTGCCCTAGCTGAAGGGACACTGACAGTGTGGGGGAAGCCACTGCCCTCTCTTACATCACCAACCTAACCCTCATCCACCATATCATGCATCCCCTGGCACCCGGGCAGTGTGGGGTACTGCTGGGGGGTGATGGTCCTCCAGCCCACTTCTACCCTCAGCCTCCTGGGAATCACCACCCCAGACCACAGGTTCCCTGAGAGGACTTTGCCCTCTGCGGGTCCCAGGGAAGCACTGTTTTGGACACCTCTCCTCTCTCAGGGCCTGTTCCGGGAGCCCCGCAGCCTAGTCTTCCCTCTTGCAGGGTTAGTAGGCCTGTGGAGCCTTCTGAAGGCATGGGAAGGAGCTATTTCCTCATTGCAGCCTTGCTGGCTAACCTCACCAGGGGAGGGGTGGCGGCATGATGGGCTGTCTCCAGGAGCCTCCAGACAATGGCTGTGCCCTGCTCCCTAGCCCTGTCCTATCTGGGAACAGATCACTGTGGAACAGAGATAAGAAGCCCCGGCTTAGTCCAATTCTCTACAGGGATTCTCAAACTTTTTGCAGACCATGTAGAGGCAAAACGTGGACTGGGAGCAGTCCTGTCTTTACTAAGGCAGAAATAACAGCTGTGGGAATACATGGGTGAAGCCGATGACTTGGAGAAAGTTCTGAGAACTTCTGGTCTCACTTGAAAAACAAAAGGGCCCTTGCATAAGCCCTGTGGCTGGGCCCACCCAAGGCTGGCCAGTGTCTGCCCTAAGCCAGAGGGTGCCCTCCAGCCTCCCTCCAAGAGATGCCCTGCTCACCTCAGCAGGGAGAAGTGCATGAATACACCTCCCAAGCATTGGTGGACGGCCCACTTCCTCCCCTTCAACCTTTTCTCTGGTTGTGAAGGACAGATCTGGGTCCAAAAGCAGCTCTGCCCTCCCTCCCCCAGGCCACACCTGGGCCTGGCTGTCTCCCAGGGTGTTTGTGGTAGGACCAGAATAAGGAAGCGAGTAAGGGACAGAGAATGAAGCCGCCCACGCTGATTCTTCCCATCTTTCCAGATCACCAGTGCTGCAGATTCAGAGGCTGTCACCTTCCAGAAGCTGGTGAAGGGGCACGCGTACTCGGTCACCGGGGCCGAGGAGGTATGCCTGGCGTGGATTTTCAGGGGTCTTTCTCCCCCTAACACAATAGCCCAAAGCACGTTTTTGCCTGTGATTGCCTAGGGTGGGGTCCCCCTGTTTCCAAAATCCTTTCCAAATGGGCCTCACATTCCTGAAGTTCAGGCCAGATGGGGTTGGGGTGGGGACGTGTCTTCCCGGGACTCCAGACTGGTGTGCACTGCCCCCTGGTGGCCAGGAGATGCAGCTTTCGGAGCTCTTTTTTTGTTTCAGAATATCTGCTAAAGATAATAAAAACAATATTTTGCATCTGTATAGTGTTTTATAGTCTTTGAAGTGCTTTCACATTCCATCTCATGAAAGCATTCGTGCGTGCCCATACTCAGATCTGACTCTGCCTCTCTCTAGCTGTGTGTTCTGGGCAGGTACTTGAACTCTGCCCTTAGTTTCCTGATCTCTGAATTAGCATTACAATCATTCCCACCGGAAAGTGCTTGTGGTGATTCAGTCACTTTGCTGTATACCCCTGACACTTTGTATATACTCATGGAACTACCCTTGTTGTTGTCACTATTGCATTATAAATACTATTATGCATCCCAGTTTAATTCCAAAACTCAGACTGGACCCCAGGTCAGATATGTGGCGTTTTTTCCCTGGCGTTTTTGTTTTATTTCCCTTTTTGAGAATTTTCAAGCCTACAATAGTTGAAAGAATAGTAAACATCTGGATGTTATGTCCCCAGATTCAACAGCTGTTCGCCTCCTGTTCTTTTCCTCTGTGTTGGAGCACTTTTTCCTCTGGCATCTGAGAGGTTGCAGGTCTCAGGAAACCTCACCCACACAGACTTCAGCATTTGTCTCCATTGAATAAGGACAATCTCTTACTTAATCCCAGTGTTACTGCCATGTCCAAGAAGATACAAACTATTTAACTAACATCCTCTAATATACAGTCCATATTTATATTTTCCCAGTTACCCCTAAATGTCATTTATAGTGTCTCCCCTCCCCGCCCCGCCCCAGGGTCCAATCAAGAGTTGGTACTGCTTTGCTTGTGTTCTTTCCCTGGGGGTAAACCTTCCTAGACTCCCTTGGCTAATGGGCATCCTGTTATAGTCAGTTACATGGAGTTTCAGATGCAAAGTGCTAGCAGAGAGAGTGGGCCAAGCTTGCTTGTCCTTCAGCTTGCCAGAGAGATTGATATGCCCTGGCCTGCCAGGGCCCAGGTCCAAGGAGCCACTAGGACCACACAGCAGCAACATGTCTAGGGACAAGCCTCTCTCCTTTTTGTGATCCCCTTACAACATGAGCTGGACGACCCCCCACCCCAGCTCATGCCAATGGGGCTGTGGGCCTTAGAACCTCCAGGCCTGGCCTGAGCTCAACATCTCCCTCCTCTTACCTGACCCCGCTTCAGGTTGAAAGTAGAGGAAGCCTGCAGAAATTGATCCGCATCCGCAACCCCTGGGGAGAGGTGGAGTGGACTGGAAAGTGGAATGACAAGTGAGGAGGGTGCAAGTGGGGGAGCAGGGAGGGGTGCGTTCTGCTTGGGGGTGCTGGGGGAATGAATGGGGAGTGTGCTGTGCTGAGGAATAAAGCCTCGAGAGTGCAGGTCACCAGAGTGGGCCCAGGACCTAGGTGGCCCCCCTAAGACCTTTAACTAGCTCATTCCAGCAGTCTGGGTGTCTCCAAGACACAGGGCTCCTGTGATGCTCCTCCCTTTCACCCCTCAGGGTTCATGCCTTCCCTAGTGCCATTTAGGGTAAGATCCCGAGCTGAGATTCGCCTCACTATGGGACCTTCAGGGAATAAGTGTTCCCCTCATCCCCGCTCCACTCCAAGCCTGGGTTCTACTTTGAGATTATACACATAGGGCTTGAGACCAGAGAGAAGTTTCTGTTGATCCCCAGCTTTTTACTGTACATCTTTGACTCTGGGGTAAAATCTCCTGTGAGCCTCCCTCATGGTCTTCCTCCTGCCCCCACTCCTTCCTCCAAGGCCCAGCACCTCCAGTTCTGCCCCTTTCCCTGGCCCCCTCCAAGGCAGCCTCTGCCATGCCAGAGACACTGATTCAGCTGCAGAGACCAAGATAAGCTGCTTCTCGTCACTTTTTCAGTTGCCCCTTAAAAGAGCTACCAGGCCCCTCTGACCCTGGGTCACTGATGCTGCTTCATCTTGCTCTCATGCTCTGTGTTCATTTTCTGGACTCTTCGTTGCCACCATCTTCCAGGGAACTCACCCTCTCACTGTAGTCTTAGCCAGCGCCTGTTCCTCCACCCCCTTACTAGGTGTGGGCCCACAAGGGGAGAGAGTATGTCCTTGACCCTCCCCTTTGGGGAGACTTGGGAAGGTCATTGCCCTCTGCAGGTTTCCAATGTCTCACGCATTACTTTCTTTTCCAGCTGCCCAAACTGGAACACTATAGACCCAGAGTTGAGGGAGAGCCTGACCAGGAGGCATGAAGATGGGGAGTTCTGGTAAGATTACAGGAAAAGGGGTGTCTGCTGCAGTGATCTTTACTAGAAAACTAGCAAGATGATCATGCGAAGGGGCACAGAGGCATGGGATCCTGGTTTTGTTGTTTCACACTTACTATAAGGCCCTGAACAAAAACATTCCTAAACCACTTGAACTTGCCCATCTCTCATGGGGTTTATAAGCTGAGCAGCTTTACAAGGAAGACTAAGGGGATTCCAGGAGAAAATGGGGGAAGGTGGGGCCCCTCTCCCAACCGGTTCCTTGAGATTCATCCCAACACCTTAAGGAATCCATCCCTGAGTGAGTGGTGCGAGCAGCTGTCTGCCTGAGGCCACCTACTGCACATCGCAGGATGAGTTTCCAATGTGTATCATCGGATGCTCAGACTCCTGTTTTCACAGGGAGAGTTCTGAGCCACAGAAAGGTTTAAGCAACTTGCTCAGTCGCCTGCTGGAAAGTGGCAGCACCAGCACCGGAGTCTGTGCCTTCCTGTGGGCCCAGCCTGATCTTGGGGAAAGGTCAGCTACTTCTCTGTTTCCTCTTACAACCTGGATGTGTCTCTACTTTTGCCAGGATGTCTTTCGAGGACTTCCTGAGGCACTATTCCCGGCTGGAGATCTGCAACCTGACCCCCGACACCCTCACCAGTGATTCCTACAAGAAGTGGAAGCTCACCAAGATGGATGGGAACTGGCGGCGGGGCTCCACTGCAGGGGGCTGCAGGAATTTCCCGAGTAAGGCCATTTGGCTTCGTGGGGTAGCCCAGGCAGCCCTAACCCTGCCCCAAGGTGCAATGGGCCCCAGTCTGTCAGCTCCTGCCCACTCTGGCTTCCTTATCCCTGCGTCTCCATCTCTACACCACTCTCTTTACTCTTCCCGTTAACCTCTACACTTTCTTCGCCTCCCTACATAGACAAAAGCCAAGACCCTATGTCTGTGATGCCCTCCCCGGGCCCCTGCTTCCCTGGACCTCGGCCTTCCCCCATGCCCACCAAAGCAGCGCCCAGCCCCACTTCGTTCCCACTGGCTATTCTGTCCATCCTGAGCCCAATTGCCTGTCCTGCTGGGAACCTCAGCACCGGGCCTGTGCCTGAGCGAGTGCTGATGGCGGAGCCCAGGTGGGGTGATGATTTCTCCTGCCTTGATGGCCCCCAGTCCTCCCCTGCCTACCTCTAAGAAGTGATAGAACCCTGGGGACAGCTGCCGATTATAGAGCGCGAATTGGGTGCTGGTAACTGTCATATAATTCCATTTAATCTTCACAATAAACTTCCGAGGCAAGAACTTTATGATAATCTTCGTCTCTAAGATGAGCAGAGGCTGGGGGTTGAATGACTTTCCCAAGGCACGCAGGTTCCCCAGAACTGAGCAGTGCAGTCTGATGTGGGCTCAGTGCTCAGGCAGTAGTGGCAGCCCAGAGAGTCAGGCTCTAGGTGGCATGCCTGGCCCAGAGAGAGAGTATCCGACCAGGACTGGCAGACCAGTCGTGCTTATTCTGCCTCAAGCATGCAGCCACCAATTGGCAGTCCCAAAGGGGCCAGGAAGGCCCTTTACACCCCACAAAATTCGTTTTACTACCTACTAGCTTGGGGGTCATCAAAGTCTCTCTTAAGGGCCCGAAATATTTTCTGGCTTGGTGGGCCATTCATCTCTATGGCAGCTACTCCAACTCTACTGTTGCAGCCCAGAGGCAACCATGATTAAACGAGAAGACATGGCTGTATTCCAATAACTTTACTTACGAAAACAGGCTGCCAGCAGCCCTTGAGGTTGGGGTTTGCCACTAGATGATACCTTTACTGCCACAGTTTTATTCTGTGATGTAAGGGAGAGCAATCAGCATAGTGATCCCTGAATGAATCTCAGGTCCTTCCTGTAATCAGATTTTGGAAGCGGGGAGGGAAGAGACACTGAGAAGGGAGTTGGCCAGGTGACAGACCCTGGAGAACTAGGGACCCGAACAAGAGGCTGAAATTGTGCACAGGATGTTCCTGGCCTCTGGGTCTACTGAAGGGGGTTCGGGAGTCAGTCTCCAAGTCTCGTTGCCCAGCCCAATAGGACTCCTCTCTAAGCTGCACGACCCCCCTGACATCCGGCCCCCTTCAGAGCTCCTCATCCCCTGGGCGTTCCTGCTTAGGCTACGCACCTTGTAGAAGTGACTGACTCCTGCCCTCTCTGCCCATAGATACTTTCTGGATGAACCCCCAATACGTAATCAAGCTAGAGGAGGAGGATGAGGACCAGGAGGATGGGGAGAGCGGCTGCACCTTCCTGGTGGGCCTCATCCAGAAGCACCGGCGGCGGCAGAGGAAGATGGGCGAGGACATGCACACCATTGGCTTTGGCATCTATGAGGTGGGTCAGGACGGGGACGACCTCGCCTATCCTCTCTCTCAGCTCATCTCAGCCCCAGCAAGGAAGGCCAACCCCAGAGGTAGTCCTGGACAGGGGACCCCAGACATGGTGCTTGGACATGGAAAAAACAAAGTCACGGCCTGGGCAGATGTAGATAGAAGTCACACCGGGAGCTTCCTGCAATGCCTGTGTCAGTGGGCAGTTGCCCCCATGGCCAGTTTCCCAGGAATCCCACCCTTTCTACTGGCTTCCATGTCCCTTTCACATGCCCCAGGCTGGCACTCTCCAAAGCACAGATGAGCAGTCACCCGTCTCCAAAACAAAGAGACTTAAGCTGAGAGCAGAATATACTAGATCACGTGGGAAAGTGTTGTCAGGACAGGAACTGAGCTGACGGATCCAGTTGGTCGGAACCTGGAAGATGGGAGGGAGCTCAGAACACAGAAACAGTCAATAGGCTCCCACCAGGCCACCCCTACTTGGAGCCCTGTCCCTCCAACACCCCCCCAAAATACACACACTCAGACACTCAGTATCACGTCCTACTTTCATTCTGTACAAAATAAAGATCACCCCAACCCAGCACATCAGAGCTCAGCAACATCAGCACCGCCTCCCCCTGCTGGGGCTGCGGCACAGAGAGCTAACCCACCTGGCCAGCCCCGTGCCTTCACCGTCCCCTTTTGCGGCACAGAAGAGAGCTTCTTGTGGCCTTAGGCTGCCAGTGGGAGAGGAGGGGTGCAAGGAAGACTTCAGAGCAAACCAAGTGGGGGTGCACTTTGGTATGTTGGTGGAACTCATGATGAGCTGGCTCCTGAAAGCCACATATGCCTATCTCTGCCAGCCCCTCATCCGTGAACTCACATGGGCAACCTGAAAATGGCTGTGGTGGCAGGGGGAATATGTACACCACAGCAAATGGTGAATAAATACTGCAAATGAGGGCTCCCACCTTATCCCTACTGAGATCTGCTTTCCCTGACATCATGGAGGGAGCTCCCCTAGGGGGTTGGGGGAGAAGACTGTTCACTCAACCCTGGGATGTGGCCGCCACCGAAAGGGCACCGATCCAGGAAGGAAGGGATTTGGAAAGACCCCACCAGTTTAAAAAATGCACATGAGTCCAAATTCCTCAGTCTTAGAAATAGCGGAGTAATCTGAGGTGTGACACAGAACACCCCCACTTCCCATACCCCCACCCCCAGCCTGGAAATCAAGGCATGGACTTTCAACGCTGCTTTTCCTGGGTGGGAGGCAGCCATGTGGGTGACCTTAAACGTGTCCCTTCACAGCCCTGTGCTAGCTTCATGCTCTATAAATTGGAGCTGGTGGTGAGGGCTCATCCACATTATTGCTGGGTCATAAGAAAATATTTTAAATGTGGATGTGCTTTGAGTTCTTTGGAAAATTGCCATGTTGACTTAAGTTAATATTGCTAAAGCAACAGCAACAGGGTGGGGTGGCAATGGAGATAGTCACAGTGATGACATTTATGTATGCTGCTTTGCCAGGATCTGAATTAAGTGTGTGCTCCTTTATCTTTGCAGGTCCCAGAGGAGGTATGTCTGGTGGGCATCAGCACCTGTCCCTGGAGACTCAGATTCACCAACATGTAAAAGGCTTGCACTGCCCGCCCAGGGACCTGTGGAGCTTGGGCAGGGCTCATAGCTGTGAAGGATGAGTCCCTGCCCCTCTGCGGCCCTGGTGAGGTGGCTCAGGCCCTCGGTGCTGCTGACCTGAGCTCAGGGCAAGGTATCACAGATGGCCCTGGGGCCTTGCTGCCTCTCAGCGGCCCACAGAACACACGTGTGGTTTAGTTGTGAGTGGATAATGCACAGCTGGGGCCCCAGAGTGGGCTTCCCAGAGTTCTGCAGCGCTCTTACAAGCTGGAGGTAAAAGATAAACCTGCAGACTGTGCAGGAAGAGCTGACCCTGATTCCCAGTCCTGCCATCTGCAGGCTGCGACCGTGGACAAGCTCCATATTCTCTCTGGACTGCAGTTTCTTTTTCAATAGAACTGGTCAACCATCCACATTGGCCAGACTGTCTTGATGAATTAAGTTACTTGAGAGCACTTAGTAGGCCCACAGTTGCTATTAACGGATCTGTGGGCAGGTGTTATTTTTGCTAGAAAGTTTGCCTTTTATCAGAACATTATTTGTGTCATCCTTTTATCTCCAAGAGTGAAATGGCATTGATTTGGAGTCTTCTCCCCGCCCCCCATCCGCACTTGTTTCTGTTTACTCATCAGTTGATGGGACAGACCAACATCCACCTCAGCAAAAAGTTCTTCCTGACAAACAGAGCAAGGGAGCGGTCAGACACCTTCATCAACCTGCGGGAGGTGCTCAACCGCTTCAAGCTGCCCCCGGGAGAGTACATTGTTGTGCCTTCTACCTTTGAGCCCAACAAGGACGGCGATTTCTGCATCCGTGTCTTTTCTGAAAAGAAGGCCGACTACCAGTAGGTCACGTCCCCTCCCACCCACCATTACTACTGCCAGCCTGCTCCTCACCTACCCGGAGCTCTTCGCTCCTCTGAACATCAGTTTCTTCTTCTATTATAACCGCCTGTTCCAAAGAGTTTAGCGTGAGGATTTGACATCTTGAAGAACTTTTAGTATTATACTCAGGAACACAAAGACAATAGCCATCAGGCTATTTTGGGTTAGTAAGGGGTGGTTGTAGAGCTAATCACAAAATGTAATTTCAGCTGTTTCTCTGAATGACCGAGTTGTTTCATTTTAACGACCTATATTGGACTCTACAAACCCAGTTCCATCATTTGGAGGAAGCTGGGCAGTGCTGGTGTAACACTTTTCTGGAGCCAAGAGTGTAAGCCACAGCTCAGTGGTCTCCAGAACCTGTTGCCATGATCAGGTCCTGGGGTTCTCCCGCCTTCCTCATTGGTTCCCAGACATTTAGACCCTTTTGACCTAATGTCACTGTCTACAGGGCCTCTGTTCCCAATGACTTCTGCCTCAATAATGTGCATTTAGTTGGGCACTAGACCGAGAAAGATATAATCAGGACAACTTAACAAGAGGGAAGGTCATAGGGACTTCCGAACTGGTGGGAGGCAGGAGGCAGGAGAAGAGCAGACCAAGGACACTCTGGAGGGTCAGCATGTGCGAAGCCATGAACAGGGCAACTGTGGGTCCACTCTGACCATGTGCCCTGTACTCTGACCCAGAGGCCCAGCAGAGAGCATCCAATGGCCTCTTACCCTGTACCTACAAGGGAGGAGGGTAATGGGAAGGGGAACAGGGCATCACCCTTGCTTTGAGACAACACATGGCAGGAAAATGATTTCCCCCAAGGAAACTGGGGTGCTGTTAGTGAGGAAACAATGCTAGGGAGCTGCAAGCTGATAAATATCTCCAAACTCTGTGGCTATGCGTTTCCTGCCTCTGACGGGGGTCTCATCTTTTGCTCAAGAATGCCATGAGAAGGGGCCTTTTAGGATCCTTGGAGGAAGCCTGGTGTGTTTGGCTTCCATCCCACTAACAAGAAAATGGGGACATGATGGGCGGCCCGGGACTGACACTGTCCTGTGTCCACCTCAGAACTCGTTCTCCATCCCTGCCAACCACAAGCCACTGTTATAGGGAAGCCTCAACCCCCACAACTCTCCTCTTTCCAGGGTGAGCTCCCCCCACAGGACACCACCCATCAGCATATTAATCCTTTGCCCCAGCTTCCAAATGTCCACACCAAGGGTTTGCACGGCCTTTATCCCACACACTGTTGGCCTTGAGTTGGCACTTGTGGTGGCCCAGTTTTGGATCCCAAGGAAGACCCTCTTCAGGAAGCAGAATTACCCTCACCACACTCAGGACTCTGCTGGGATAAACTAGCGGCTGTCTGAGCTTCAGCTGCAGCCACACACTGGCCTCCATGCCGCCCTGCCCGCTTCGGCCCTAAGCAGAGCAAATCGGCTACAATGCCCTGTGTGATTCTCAGTAGGAAGGATTTTTGATGTAAGATTTATGGCAAAGAGTATTTTAAGTGGAACTTAAAAGTTGTCTGGAGTGTCTGCACCATGCCATGTGGGCAGACCATGCTATTTGATGAAGGCTTTCCACGTTTCCTCAGTTCCTTTCTGTCTTGATTTCTGTTCTTGAAGGAGATGTGTTATCCCCGAAACCTGGGATACAGAGAAATCCCTCTGCCCATCCTTGCTGGATTAAAGTCCCTCTTTCATTTTGCAGTGATTTTAGCAACACTTCCTTCTGCTTCCCCTGCTCCCAGTAACACACCTTGTCCTTCTGTTTCCAGGATTGTCGATGATGAAATTGAAGCCAACCTGGAAGAGGTACTTGTAACTCCTTGAATTCTGCCCACGCCAGCCTGCACAACCCGGAGAGCAGAGGAACAAAAAATAATCCCAAGGGTTTTTAAAAGGTCCCTGCACTTGTCAGCACAGTTTGAGATTAAGGATAGTGGGATCTGGCTCTGGCCACTGTGGGGGGGTCTAGGGGGTCCCTTCCATTCAGGGCACAGTCCCAGTGTGCACAGAGCTGAGGTGGAAAAGGAGGGACACCGCTCCTGTAATGATCGTTGAAGGTTTTGACACCCCACTTTGGACCTGAGCTGTCCCATTTATAAAATGAAAGTGATGAATGATGGGACTTCTCAGGCTCCCTAGAGTTGCCAGAGTTGTGAGTCCATGGTAAAACCTGAAGGGCGAGGGATCCAGCTAGGGAATTTCAAGTGAGGCCCAGTGTTAACAAATACCCTGGAGGGCGGAAAACACCACAAACGGGAAGGGACGCGCCTCCCTCTGGGGACCTGACGTAGCTTGATAATCGTTGAAGCAGTTGCTGAAGCTCTATGTTGTCAAACATCCTCAGTAAGAGACCAGACAGTTTCAAAGATCCTCAGGAGATGTGCTCACTCACTCCAGAATCCTTCTGGAACATTCCAAGTAGTCTTGGTGCTTCTGAATCCCTATTAGAGTAGCTCTAAAAGGTCATTTTGGTTGAACGTTACCGGAGATACCTTTGTGAGAAATTAGAATGTATCTCCTTCCCACCTAGTTCATATCCCCTTGGAAGTTTTAATTAGAAAGTCATTCTTTCATTAATTCTTCACACTATCCTTTATCTCAATCCCAGTTGCCTTGGAGTACGGGCCCAAGGAGGAGGCAGAGAGGGGAACTGTGAAGGGGGAGAGGCTGCCCCAGAGGGGGAACTGGCTGCTTGCTACTGTTCTTTGCTCTGATCCAGCATTTTTATACTTCTGGGCTTTACCTTCCAGTTTGACGTCAGCGAGGATGACATTGAGGATGGATTCAGAAATTTGTTTGCCCAGCTGGCTGGGGAGGTATGTTCCCAAAATCTCTAAGTTATGACCTTTGGTTGATGCAAAGGAAACGACTGTTTTTCCTCAAGGAGACTTTGATTTCTTTTCATTTTTTTTATTTTTTTAATTTTTTATTCATACAATAGCTGGGGTACAGGCCAGAGGCGTGGGAGGGTGAGAGGATTCAGAGGAGGGAGCAGAACAGGCAGACAGACTGAAATACACTGCTGAGGGGAGCGGCCAGCCGGGAATTGAACCCGCGCTGCAGAGGCTGCGGACAGCTTCACAGCGCTGTGCTCAACCCGCTGCACCACTAGGGAGGCCCCAAGGAGACTTTGATTTCTTTTTTTTAATTGTATTATTTTGTATTGTGGTGATGTCTGTTTACCACACTGTATGATTTAGGGGACAGGATCACAGCCCCTCAGATGTATGTCACCACACCTACCATCATAATCCATTGGGTCCGTATCCCCATTTACTTTCTACCCCCTTCTGGTAACCTCAATTCTACAGTCAGATTTCTTGGGTTTGTTTTGGCTTAGTCTTGTCTGCTTCTTGGTCTTCTTTATATTCCACATGTGAGTGAAATCATTAGTATTTGACTTACACCTTCTTATTTCATTTACTATAATGCCCTCCATTTGTCACAAATGACAGGGTTTCATCGTTTTTTTTGTTTTTTTTTTTTTTTTATACTGGTGGGAACCCGTTGTGTAGACATATATCGCTGCTTATATATATCCTTAATCTACTGGTAGTTGTTGGGCGCTTAGGTTGTTTGCAAGACTGACAATTGTAAATAGTGCTGCAGTGAACCTAGGAGTGCATGTACCCCTTGGAATTCATGTTCTTGCATTCCTCGGGTAGACACCTTGGATGCTGGGTCACATCAAATCTCAGCGGAGTGTCCCTCCAGCTGACTGTTAGATGATCCTCTCAGGAGTGAAACAAGGAACCTCTCCTGACACCCTATCAGTAAAAACCAAGGAGACTTTAAAGGGGGGGAGGAAAACTGAACATAGAGGAATTGCAAGTGTAACTTGGATTTCTGTTTTGACTCCTTGTCCTGTCCCATGTTCCCCAAGGACACCTGCCCGTGGCCAGTTGCCAGGGGCTCCGCTTGCATGGTTAGCTCCACCTGTGCTCCTCCTGCCCCAGGGCTCTTAGCCCCCACCTTTGATTTTTATTTTCCTGTTTCATTCCAACAGAGGCATGGAACTTGGCCCTTTATCCTTGATGTCCACAAAGTATTTAAGGAGACTGAGTATTATAAATCTGAAGAATGGAAGCAGTTTACAGTAGAACATTAGTCTCCTCCATTCTTAAAAAAAAAAATTCCTGTCATTCAGGCTCCAGTCTGCTACAGATTTTTCAGTCTTCCATCCCAACAACTCAAAAAAAAAAAAAGCAAAACAAAACCAGTCATCTTCCTTCATTTATACAGAACCTGACTCTCTCGGGTGTCCACATGGAGTTCATCTGGGCCTTCCTGTACTTAATCAAAGACTCACCCATCTAAGAGCTAGGGCATCTGCTCCCCATTTCCCACCATGCCGCCCACCCCACTTCTAAGGGAAGGGGGCATGTTAGAGACTTATTTCCCCATTGAGTGAGTCATATGCAACCCTCCCCCCAGGAAGGCAAGGAAAGCTACAGTCAATCATGATCTTAACACTTACTCTGTGTGTGAGAGTGAACAGGCCCCCAGGCCACCTCTGAGGAGCCCCAGGGTGAGGGGAGAAGGTGTAGGAGCAGTTCCTGGACACCTGGTCCCCCCAGCTCTACAGGAAGCCAGGTCTGAGTCCTAAATGGTGATGAGGCTCGGAGGAACTAAATCTGGGAGAGAATTAAATCCAGTAAGCCCACCACCATGAGCAAAGTGCAGAATTTACTCTTTATAGTGCCCGCAGTAAAGAACTGAATGGGCTACATCTGGAACAATTGTACCTTGAAATTTGTGTCTAAGATAGGCTGTCGCTGTGCATCTCCAGGTGCAGTCAGCCAGCAGCACCTCCTGGGGACTTGTTAGAAATGCAGACTTCTGCACGCCAGCCCAGGCCCACCGCATGTGCCCCCCATGGGGCCTGGCCAGAGTGGGCGTCCCCTAAATGTTTGCTGCTCCCCGCTTCGCGTGGCTGTGTGGGGGCCACTAACCACACTGTGCTTACATGTCCACAGGATGCAGAGATTTCCGCCTTTGAGTTGCAGACCATCCTGAAAAGAGTTCTAGCCCGGCGTAAGTATCCCCTCCCAGCACGTCCCTCGTACCGCCTCTTCTCCTTTGAACGTGAGGGCACATGGGGACCCTTCTCCTTCTATGCCTTGACAGGCACGGCTAAAGCATAACTCCCCCCTCCTAGTGCCACCATCAAAGAGTTGGGTGAAGGAGGTTCTATGTGATGTGATTAAAATAAAGCTTTGCAGAGTCTATAGATCAAATACCACATTCAGGTCTCCACTACTTACTAACTCTGTGATGTAAACCAAGTTTCATAATCTCTGACTCTTGTTTCTTTATCTGCAAAATAGACATGGTATTGCTGACCTCTTAACAGTGGTTGAATGTCCTCATGAGCTCACATGTAGAAACCGCCTACTGTGAAGTGTGTTCGATAAACGGCGGCTATTGTGATGACTAACAGATAAGACTGAGTCAGCCCGGAAAACGGAAGTCAAAAAGTGCTCGTTAGTTCCTGAGTTCCTTGGGTCTATTAAGTAGCAAATCACTGATCCGTTAGCCAGAATAGAAAAATAAATGAATCATCTTACATTTAGGGAGTGGCACTAAAAAAGTCTTATTTCCCAATTGTGTACTTAAATAAGCCACATATGACCAGTTCTTTTTTTGGGAGAAATGTCACTTGTGAGCCAGTGCACCAAGCAAGTGACTTCAAAACTCTAGAAATGGCTGCTGTGAGCCCAGAGACTCCGGAAGGGGGCAGAGAGCCATGGTTCTCACCACAATTTTCATTTCATTAACGATTTTTCTTAAAAAAAATACCAAAGGATTTATTATTCAACCTTCCCACTAAGGGATGGCCAAACATACCCATACACACACACACATTCCTTACCCCCTCAAATTATCACTAGGTAACCTGTGCTAAGATCGCAATCCACTGAGCAGGCGTCCATACAGCATCAGAAGTGGTCAGCCTGGATCAGAAGCCAGTGTGCATGTTGTCACATCCTGAACATCAGTCCTGGGACCATCTCTAGAAGTCTCACGGACTTCAAAGAGCCTCTGGCCTAACTCCACGAGATAAAAGAAAATCCTCCTTTCAGAGCCAAGGAAGAGGCCAGGGCCTGCTGGCTGTGGTCCCCATGAATATGATCCACGTGTACCTCACTGGGATCATAGGTGGCTGGTCCCTCTCCTATGCCCACCAGACACAGGACTGTTAAGAGCTCCTGTGACTCACAGAGCACCGCGGTGGGGGTTGGAATGGCCAGGACTGGCTAGTCCGTGAGGACTTCCCCAGGCAGGCCTGGCTCCGGGGCCTCCCTCCTCTGTCTGGGGAAGACAAGAAGACGGTGTCTACCCTTGAAGCTGCCTGGCACAAGTGAGGTCATTGGTTTCTTCAGATGTGTGACCGTTATGAGCCAACGGGCACTGAGGCCTCACTGTTTCTCTACAGATGGAGGGTGGGGAGCAGTATCTGCTTTTCTTGCACCTCCCCTGACTGCCTGGTTATGCCTGTTTTCTGCCCAGGGCCCCCTGCACACACACAGCTTTAGACCCATACCCACTTAAGTGTTTATGCTCAGGATGGTAGTGTTAAGTGTGGGTTTCCCATGAAGTCTGTGGGGACCAGATTCAGGTTTGTGACAAGGGTTTCATGCCACCTTCCAACCACCAGCTAGACAGGAGTCATCTAGTAAATCAGTGGCTCACAGATGGCTTCTGGGTCCTCACCTATCCAAGTCAGCCTGGGACAGAGATGCCCCATAAATGCCTGCAGACAACTCATGTCTTCCTCATAGGTCCTAGCCTGGAACCTCATGACCTCTGAGTTCTATTTCCTGCCTGACAAGCAGAGGTGACACTGTACCCTGTGAACATTTAAAGTCATTTGTCATTATTTTCATTTGTTTGAAAAGGACTTACTAAGACCCTGTTTAAGTACAGAGAAATCAGGCAAATCATCTTCCCCATTGTCCCTGCACTGTGGCCACTCGCCCTATACAGGTATAGAAAATAACTAAAGTGACTGCTGTGGATTGTAGCGTGCAGATGTAGAGCATTTCCATCAATGTAGAATGGAACTTCTGTTCTCAAAGATTTTCCTGCCATGCTTAATTTTGTCTTGTAGGCCAAGATATCAAGACAGATGGTTTCAGCATCGAGACCTGCAAAATCATGGTGGACATGCTGGATGTATCCTTTGAAGTGCTCTGGGGAACAAAACCACATTGCCCCTCACCTTCTGAACAGCCAGCTCTACCTGCTGGCTGCATTGTAGGATGGTGGTCGGTGCCGACCTCTCTCACCAGGGAACATGAGACACTTCAGATGAGGGAAAGGGGAACACCACCTCCCAGACCCAGAGCAGACAGGTCAGCCAGCCGTTGTGACCAGTGAAAGATGCCCAACAACTCGCCCACCGTTTTCTGCCTGGAGCAGCTTGGGTTTGCTTCTTAAGGGACAGTGTTTCCACCATTTCTAGGTAAATAGTCCCTACCCTCTGATGTTTCTGAAATGAATCTGTTTTCTCTGGTCATGATTTTCTTCTTTATTTGTAGACAAATTCAAAGGGGTGAATTCTTCCCTCCTTTTTCCTCTAGTTTCTAGGCCACCCAACTAATCCTTCCCCTCTATTCCTGAGGCTTAATGAGAAGCTGGGTGGGGTGTTCTGAGCTTCTGTGAAATGGGCTTATGTGTGCATCACAGTGTAGCTCCCCTCCCCAAAGGCCTTTTAGAAATACTTCAAATAACAGTCTAAAATAATGGGTAAGGACTAGCCACTGAAGCCATCAGAAAGACTCTCAATATAACCTAATAGCTCATTTTTAGCCGATTCTGGGGTTCCCACAGCAACTCCAGCCCCAATCAGCTATTGAGATCCTGGAGAACGAGAGAGTCTTTGACTCTTCCACAATCCTTAGACGCAGGGTTGGCCAATGTGAAAAGCAGGCCAAGGTCCTTCTATAAGACCTGTTTGTGAGGATGCTGGGGTTACCAGAATATCCAGTGGAGAGGACAAGCAGGTGACACTAGGCCCACGTAAGCTTGACTCAAGGAGCTTTCCTCAACTGAAGACAGTTGGATGGGAGCGGCAAGCTGGGCCTGAAGGAGTTCTACATTCTCTGGAAAAAGATTCAGACATACCAAGTAAGAGCTCAGGAGGGCCCAAAGCAGGGGTGGGTGGTGGAGAGGTGGGTCTGTGTTGGGCACATGCTGTCGATAAACTTTCATATACAGCAACTCTTCAGGGGGGGATGAAGGGACATTTCCAAGGAGACTGGGATTTTTACCCTCAGTGGAGTTTGGGATGAAGAGAGGCCAAGCAAATGCAAGCAGAAAACAACAAGGACTTTGAAAGTTAACTAGTCAGCCCCTTAATTTAACTCAATGACTGACAAATAGGCTCATCTATAAACCCTACCTAAAGTATCTTAACTGACCAGTTTGTTGGAGCTTGGATTTTTTTTTTTAATATTTTATTTTATATAATCTTACATCATTTTTCATTTTTTTAAAAAAAGATTTATTTATTTGTACAAGCACTGGGCACAGTCAGAAGCACAGGAGGGTGAGAGAATTCACCAGAGCCAGAGCAGGGAACAGGACAGGCAGACTGACGAAATACACTGCTGAGGGGAGCAGTGGGCACGGCAGGAGAAGTCTGTTGCACCATGTGGGACCCTCGCTGGCAGCCGGGGATCGAACCAGCGCTGCAGAGGCTGCAGGCAGCTTTGCAGCCCAGCGCTCAACTGCTGCGCCACCAGGGGAGGCCCTCATTTTTCATTTTTGCATGGAGCTTGGATTTTTAACAGCTCCAGTACCAAGTGACTTAAGTCAATAACACCCATCCAGGGTCGAGATTTGATGGGCCTATTTACAAATTATTGCACAGAGAGGCAAAATGCAATTAGCTATTTAAGGCAGAAACATAGGTGACTCTTCCAAGGCCAAACTAGAGGCAAATTGTTGGAAAACCTTCATCCCCACTCAGCACATAGCACAGAGGTCATTTGCTTCTGCCTTATAATAATTTTTCCTGTTACAGAAAATTTACCGCGAAATTGATGTGGATAAGTCTGGTACCATGAACTCCTATGAGATGCGGAGGGCTTTAGAAGAAGCAGGTAACACTTCATAACTGTTTTTGTTTATTAGAATGAGTATGTGAATGTTCAGTCTGTGCATTTAATACAAAGTTTGGTAAGCTATGAAATGAATTAAGTGCTGGTTCATTATGACACATTTTTTCCATTTCCCTTTTAAAGACTGATTGGTAAAATAATATGTAGCCCAGGATGCTCTGCCTTCTAAAACCTCTGGAATCTAAGTTCCCCTCCAAGTGGCCTGGTAGGTCAGGCAGGTGAAGCTAGTTCTCAGTGGACTCCCCCCACATACACTCCTTTCTAATGCATCGTTGCTTAACAAAAATGGTATATCTCAGCTCCACCCTGGGGCATCCTCTAGCAGAATTAGACATCAATAACAGGGACACAAGCTTGTGGGAGACCTGCAAAGTGGGAGACTTTGGAGTGTGCCTCGAGAACAGATATCCCAGCATGAAGTTCATCTTGCTAGTTGGGATAGAAGCCTGTAGCAGAAATCCCAAATAACTGCTACATTCCAAATTTCAAGATACATCTTTTTCTCACCTAACAATCCAAGCTAAGCTGCTTGGGCTGGGATCATGCCTCCTGCTGCCAGGGATCCAGGCTGCTTCTCTCGTGCTGGGTACGCAGCCCTTCATGTTGCCTTTATCAGAGGGACCTAGGCTGGCTTGCCACCACTGCAACAACATTCTGGCAACAGATTGATAGGGGAGGAGGACCGGCTACTTGCCTTAGGGCACACGTCACTGCACTCATACATCCCACTGCCTGGACTCACAGGCCTCACATAGCTGCAAAGGAAGCTGTGGCAAGCAGTTTCAACTCTGGGCAGCAATGGCCCGTTACACATCTATTTCTATGGAGAACTGTAGGATTAATATTAGTTTACCCCAAAAAGTTTTTGCTGTATACATGCAAGGAGAATTTAGTTTCCAAGATGAATCAGAGCTACATAAACAAAAATGAAAGTATGGCTAACAAGGTGAAGCAGTACGACATGGAAATCAGAACTGGCAAGAAAAGTCCTCCATGTTTATGAGGAAGGACACAGCAGGGGACATGAACAAGTTTGGAAACAGAAGCAAAGGCAGAAAATATCAACTATAAAATAAAAGCAGACTCACAGCAGAGCAATCAAGGGACAAAAGCAGTTACAATTGTCATTTAAATCGCCATGACATTTCCAGAGCCCTTGACCAGGGCACCAGGGTGCCAGCTGACACTAGGCACTCAGTTTGCTTGTTCATTTCACTGCAGGTTTCAAGCTACCCCGTGAACTCCATCAAGTCATCGTTGCACGGTTTGCAGATGATGAGCTCATCATCGATTTTGATAATTTTGTTAAGTGTTTGGTTCGACTGGAAACACTATTCAGTAAGTGAATTGGGGGTGAGGGAAGAAGCATTTCAGCTCTCAGTATGAAAACAAGCCGCTTTTCATCACAGGTGAAGCCACCTGAACTAGACATGACTGTCCAGTCGAGAATGAATTAATAGCTTGTGACTGTCAATGAGATCAGCTGCTAAATGGGAAAGGGTAACGTGGCCTGTCTCAGCTCACTCGCTCACAACGTCCTCTTCCTCCACAGAGATATTTAAGCAGCTGGATCCTGAGAATACTGGAACAATAGCGCTCGACCTTATCTCTGTAAGTCAATGGCCCATACCACTGCCCCCTCATTCCTAAGGGGACGGGGGAGAAGGACTTTTACTTGGGTGACAGAGAACTGCGGCTCACTGACCTGCTTTCTGAAGCCCTGCTTTAAAAATCTTTTGACCTGTCAGGGATAGGCCTGTAAATGGCTATAAAATCCCACCATGCACTTTTATTTGTAGTTGTTCCCCAATTACCTACTGATTTTTAGGTCCAAGGAAACACACCAGATCACTCCTCCCATGAGCTCTGCCTTGAGTATAGCACAAGGTTAAGATAAGGAGAGGGTGGCTGCCCAATGGCTCTTAGAGAAAGAACTGCTGATTAGCATGCATGGGAGAAGGTGCTTTTATTAAAAAAAAAAAAAAATTCTCTGGATGAAATTCAAATAGATTTTGGAAGGTCTGTTATGAGAACAAATCCACTTAAAATTCTGAATAAATTATTTTCTACTTCCTCTCCCTTTAAAATTAACAATAGTGAAGCTGGCCATATGCCATTATTGTGCGCATATGTCTAAAACCCCAGCAATGCCCACCTTTGCAGTGATGATCAACTCAAATTAAGGTGGTATACCAACCAATTCCCCAAAAAGCAAAGTGCAGTATATCCTGTTGTCATCTCAAAGACAGTTCTCTCCCTTCAAATAAATAAACCAGCTGGGATTGACTTTCTTTTTTTTTTTTTTTTTTTTTAAAAAGATTTATTTATTTATTTATTTATTTATTATTCATTTATTTATACAAGCACTGGGTACAGTCAGAAGCGCGGGAGGGTGAGAGAATTCACCAGAGCCAGAGCGGGGAGCAGAACAGGCAGAAGGACCGAAGTACACTGCTGAAGGGAGCAGTAGGCGGCAGGGGAGGTCTGCGCGCCATGTGGGACCCTCCTCCGGTGGCCGGGGAGCAGCCGGGGGATCGAACCAGCGCTGCAGAGGCTGCGGGCAGCTTCACAACCCAGCGCTCAACCGCTGCGCCACCGGGGAGGCCCCTGGGATTGACTTTCATTCTCATCTGGCTCCAGCCTCCATTCCTCGGGGGACCTGAGGCAGCGCAGGCTACAAGGGCTGGCTCAGTGGCCAGTGCTGGGGGAGAACGACACAGTCTGCAGACTCCAAAGAGAGGCAAAGTGGTGAGGAGGACAAGTGTAGGGCCTGGGACTCTTTTTTTTGAATTTTGAACTCTGAAGGAACCTAGCAAGTAAACAGCTGTCTTACTCTGCCATTACGTATTACACAGCACCTGCAGCCAGCTGAAATGGCCGCTGCAGCCTAGGAATATCCCTGCCCAGAGCTGCAATTTAAAGTGGAGCCCATTGGATCGTGACGTAAAACATGCCACCTGTTAATTTCTGGAAACGCTAGCCTCCTGATCATTCTTGCTGGGTACCCCACCCCTCCCCGACTCCCCATTTCCTCTGACAGTCTTCATCTTTTCCACCCCACCTGTGGTAGACCTCACTTTTCGTGGGATCCTAGAGCTCCCCTCACTCTGGTCATTTTTGCTGAGGATGAACAACCAACCGCAAGTACATCTCCCCTTCAGTTGGCAGCAGTTTCAGCCTTGGCTGCAGGTCACACCACCTGGGAGCTTTGCAAAGTCCTGATGTCCAGATCTCACCCATTAGACCTTGCTCCATTAGAATCTGATTAGAAGTCCTGAGGTTATTCCAATATAGAACCAAGGCTGAGAACCACTTATTTAAGAGCTATGCACAGCGCAAACTCTTGTTTGCTGATACTCAGATGCAGAGATGTAAAAATGCTAATTCTATCGACTGAGTTCCACATTTCATGTTTCAGTCAGCCCTGTAATATGACTCGTGACCACCTGGTTCAAACAGCACCCAGACTATTGGTCCAAACAAGCTAGACTCTAGAAATCAGATAGAAAAAAATGGGAGTTAGTATACTGCTATCTTAACTTTGATCAGCTTTTTGGGTACAACCATCAATCTTTCGAGGTACTTAAACAAAAGAGCCTTTCATTTCAGAACTGGTCACTGAACCGACCTGTTTTTTCTTTTTCACAGTGGCTCTGTTTTTCAGTACTTTGAAGTGATCACTATTCTGCTTGAAGACTTCGCATGAAAGAAAAATCAGCCATGACTAAGCTTCTACAGAGAAACTTTTTATCTGGACCTTGAAATTATGGGAACATTTACTTAAACTGATGATTATAGCGGAAAATGATACTATGTGAGATAGCAGAACTTTCAGATATTAAAGTAAAATATTTACATATCATTATACTAAATCCAAGTGAGCCACTTAACCCTTGGTAAGTTTAAAGACAACTTTAAATCTGTAAATAGTATATACTTTTTACTTTTACACACTTTCCTGTTAGATCAATATTAAATAAGGAATAAAATGCAGGGAGGTATTTAACAGCTGAGCAAACATTAGGTCAGCCTTAAAGGACATACATAGTGACCTTGCTGAGAATATTTAAAGCCACTTCAAGTTTAAAAATGCAGCACTGGCATTTACCAGACAGCAATCTACATTTCCCTTGACCAAAGTGGAGAACAGGAGGCATCCCGAAGTAAGCTCCCCAAGGGCACCTGCAGAGGCCGGGCAGAAGCACACCCCCAGCAGTTGGGTTGAACGAGAGACAGATTCTGTAAAACTTATTAGTAAACTCATGCGTCTTAACCTCAAGTCCTTGAGCACCTCTGGTCCAGTACATTCAGTGTTACAAATACCAAAGAGATTCTACTCTTGATCAGCTGAAGCAAAATTAGCAAAATCAGGCGTCCGGTTCACCTTGATGGGATGAATGACAAAAACAAGCTGTTTGCTGCCTGCTGCAACACTTCCTGAACTGCTCTGTGTGCATGGACTTGGGGGGACATTACGAGCTGCAAAGATGGCACAGGCTTGTTTCCTGGCTTCAGCTTGGGGAAATGCTAGCAACATTATAAAAATATTACCTTGTTGCCTTATCTTCTTCCAAATGTACTGTTGAATAAAGAGTTGCCCTGGGCAGTCACCCGGCTGCTGTCCTTTCAGGAGGGTCCCAGAGGGTTGTGTGAACAAGCACCCCCCGCCACAGCCTGTCTCCACTCGCCCCTCTCCCAGGCCAGCTCCTCAGTAAACTACACTGAAGAGGCATCTTAGCATTGAAATGTGTCACTATGAAATGTTTTTTAAATCCAATTCAGAAGCTCTGAGAATTGATCCTAACTAAGCGCAGCTCTCATTTCTGCTGCTTCTTGGCCTCTCTTACAGAGGCTGAACCAGGTTTCCTGCTTGGCCGACCACCTGAATTCACTTTGGTCAACTCCCACTGGTGTAGGGAATATGAGGGGGGAGCTGAGAAAACAAGCACTTAAGTCATTGGTCTGTGGGAGACCTGGAGGAGTCATGAAAACTGGGAAAGATGTGACCTGACTTGAGATAAGGAAATGCCAGCCTCATGTTTCATGAAAAGATAAGACGGATTTCCCAAAGTCCACCCACATGAGTTTCAGCCCTTCCTCTTGCTGAGGTGTTTGAAGCCTACAGGCTGGCCCACATCAGCAGCATAGGGCTAGGAGTGGAGATGTTCGGAGGGACCAGGGATTGAGGCTGGGCAAGGAATGTGGTCAGGGATTGATGAGGGAGTTGACATTGGTCAATGCCTGTTTTACAGGGAAAAATAGATGCTAAAGTAAATCCATTCAACTTGATGACACTGTAGAACCTCACGCCAACCTAAGCTGTCGCTGCTTTCTTCCCTCCAGTTCAGGAAAGAGCCCTCCCTGAATCTCTGGTCTGAACTAGTCTCAGGTCTCCTCATTAGCCCCGTGCTTCTATCTTCAGTTTTCCTTCCACAGCATTTAAGCACTTAATCCACACCTCTCCCTGCTGTTTTCTCCCTCCTTCCTCCTGAGCCCAGCCTCCTACACAGCAGTCCTCCCTGGAGCTTGGCTCTTCCTTTCTCCTTGACTCCTTCATCTCCTACAATCTGGCCCAACTGCTCTTCTGTAATTGCTGCCTTTGTGACCACTAAAGCCAAACCTCATGCAAAGGACCAGCCAGTATCTTCCTCTTTGTGCTGTCTTCCACACTACACTCTTCTCTCCCTCTTCTTCCCCATGTTGCAACCGTCCCAGGGTGGGTAGGTTCATCTTCAGATCTTGCTGGACGAAAGGGTAACTTTGGAGCCTTCAGTAGATTTTTATAGGCCTGTTAACACTGAATCAGGGAACACTCCTTCAGTATTTCTCTGTCTCCTTTCCCTGTAATACTGCCTCAGAGTGAGGCCGCCCTTTTAATCCCCCTGCCACAGGTGTCCCCATTTATACAGGCATGTGCCCCATGCACTCTGGGCCAGGTGTCCATAATTACAGGTGCATGAGCAAGACCAAAGGTGCTGATCATAGATGCTAATGGTGGGGGGTGGGGTGGGAGTGGGAAAAGCCTTATTTTCAACTCATTTTCCCAACACCTCCCTAACCCCATTTTCTTTTCCATGTCCCTTTCTCTGCTCCCCTGGTCAGACCCTTCAGGCTCACTGCCTTTACACTGAGCACAGTTCAAGTCTGCACACCACCCTCGGTAGCAGGGTCCATTCTCCAGCTGCTTTATCCCTCCTTATTTTCCAAAAATCAAAATCCTGCTTCCATGAGGAGATGACTACAGCGTCAATTACAGTATGTAAGATATGGGAAACAGCCATTTCAATACTAGATAAACTGGATAAAATACCTGATGAAATGTGGAGTCGTTAGAAATCACGACACAACAGCATGGATAAGAGGACACAAAATTGGGCAGTATGCTTTCAACGAGGCAGACAGAAAAAAACAGACTAGATAGATGCCCAAATGTTAATAGGTGTTGCCTCTCGTGTTTTTTTCCTTCTGCTTTTTCGCCGTTCCGTATTTTTAAATATTTCTACAAGGAGCTTTGGTATAAGAATACTCTGATAATAAAACAACTTAAAAAACAATTATAACAAATGATGTTCTAAGTTTAGGACTAAGGAAATAAAGCTGAGACGGGCACATTTTCCTGACAGTCACATCTTCCCTTTTTATATACCTCTGTGCCTTTCTTTCCAGTTCACCCTGCACTTTCACGTACAGGATGCGTTGTGGCTTTCCTCAAGCACTTTGTAGAAACCATGGTAGCAATTAGGAAAACAGCTCAGTGTCCCCACGAGGTGCTAAGTGCCCCAGCCAGGACTAGAACCTGGGTTGTGTTTCCTGTTACTGCTGTAACATGTGAGCACAAAGTTAGAAACTTAAATACTTATTATTTGGTCCTCCATGGTGGTGTAAGGATTAAGTCTCAACGCCATCACAATGGCCTGAATTTGATCACAGCCTGGATTTGATCTCGCTGAGGAGCTGACCCACAGCAGACCACTCCTGTCTAACCCACCACTCCCCTTAGTGGTGTATTTCAGTAGATCTGCCTGTTCTGCTCCCCACTCTCTGGTGAATCCACTCACCCCCCTGCATCTCTGGTCTACATCCCAGTTCTAAATAAAGAAACCTATTATTTCATAGTTCAGTAGCTTAGAAGCCCAGTGTCTGTCTCACTGGGCTAACATGTTCCTTACTGAAACATGGGAGGAACACGTTCTTGTTGCTGTGGGGCTCTTATTGCCTGGCTGTCAATTTTCCACACTCCCCCACTCACCTTCAAAGCCAGCATTGGTAGGTAGATTCCTTCTCACACCTATCTCCCTGACCTGCCCTTCCATATCATCTTTTCTGCTTTAAAGAGCTCATGTGACTGCACTGGGCCCAGGTAGTCAAGGATAAGCTATTTCAAGGTTGGCTGATTAGTAAGTTTAATTAAATCTGAAAAGTCCCTCATAGCAAGTCATAGGTTAGTGTTTGAAAAACCAGGTGTCTTAATAAGTTAAGCTGCTACAACAAATAACATATTGGGGGTGGGGGGCGAGGTGGGTGGGGGCTTGAACAACAGACATTTATTTCTCAGTTCTGGAGGCTACATGTCCAAGACCACAGTGCCAGCAGATTCAGTATCTGCTGGGGACTCTCCTTCTGGCTCGTAGATGGCAGCCATCTTGTGTCCTCACAGGGCTAGAGAGAAGGGAAGGTCTCTTTCTCTCATAAGGTCACTAATCTCATCATGGGGCCCACATGACCTTGTCTAAACCCAATCACCTCCCAAATGCCTCACTTCCTAAACCATCACAATGAAGAGTTGGGGATATTTCAACATGAGTTTTAGGAGGATACAAGCATTCAGTTGTTAGTGTGAGGCAATGGGAACATGACAGTGGGGGAGGGAAAAAGTAAAAATTCGGTATGTCCTACATGTCTTCTGACATTTGGTTCATGTTGTCACTATCTCTCCATTGCTCTGAAAGGCATGGTATTTAGTTATTCATAAAAATGTACAAGGAAAAAAGGGTCACTGATCTTTCATTTGTATCTTCTAATAAATGAATTCCATTACGTAAAACGGGTTCCAAACAATTTGGCAACACTAATCAAACAATGTGAAGGTTTGTCTACATAAGTTTTCATCTCATCAATCAATGTAATTAACTATGAAGAAAATGGAAATAACAATAGACGCTGAAACACTCTTATCAGAGACTCCAGGTAAAGGTACACATGTCTGTCACCGTGGTTTCTGAGAACTGTCAAAAGAAAACTTAATTCTGTATCAAAGACCATCAGAAAACTCATGAACTATAAAGCAGTTTTCTGCAAGCAAGGGAATACTTACATTTAATGGCATGGCTGGTAAGGCCAGCTTAATATTTTTTAGCTGGCTAAAATATCCCAATGGCTGAATTTTAAACAAGATTGTTTTTATCATCAAAAACTAAGACCAGTAAAAAGCTTAGAGTTAAAAAGTTTTATTACAATTGTTCCTAAAGTCAGCTATCATCTTGACAAATATCATAGGTAACTATAGAAAGTCTCTAATTTCTGAGATATAAAAGACAATAAATATAGACTCAAATTAGCCTAAAAATTAAGATTCTAAATCTAATTACTTGTAGTGTAGCTTAGTTTCAATATTTCAAATATATGTATAATTCTTAAGATGCCATAAGAAGTCAGATAAGAAAATTATTGCTCACTGACAACCAACTAATAGCTCATTGACAACACACAAGTTTTTGGCACCCTTGAGCCTTCATTTGAGTCCCTCGGAGGCTCCCGATGTTGGGAGACCCTGGACATGATGCCATGAGGTGACGCCACAAGGGTACACTGGTCCTTTCTATTGGAGGGACAGGTATTGGGGCTGGAAAACGGCAGGGCAAGAAACTGGTTT